TGGCATCAGGGCAGAGTACTGCTGGTCTCTGCCCACTCAGCAACCCACCAAGGCAGCCTAACAGTTGCCCACACAGTCGTGGTGAGGCACCTGGACATGGACAAAGTTTTCCTCTACCCAGGTGTAGTAACCAGTTATTGTGGGTGGGCTGTACTGCTGTTTCTGTTTTGTGGGTGGGTTGCTGGACTAACCAGGGCACTGACCGGCACGAGGTCAGATACCCTGTTAGTCTAGTTGGTAAAGGGGAGAAGTGTGGCGAAACCAACCTCGCCACTGTGAACTGGAGAAGCCTGGTTGCTCGCCTGCTCCCTTTGGACTATGGCCCTGCAGGTTAAACTGTTTATTTCCCCTGCAGAAAGGCTTATTTGTGTGATCTGAGTGCCATTCATCTAATAATGTGCACTCAGATCCCAGCTATCTCGGGATATGTGAAATGTCTGTGTGTTATGTGTAAATGTGGCTTTATGTATTTTAAAGTGTTTTGTGTCTTTTTGCAACCATGTGCTTAATGGAGTCTTGTGTCTATCCTGGGAGATAATTGAATTACTCTCCAGGATAGAAGACTCTGAAACTGGTTTGGGCCAGAAAGCCATGCTTCATTTAGTCACAAAGGACTTTTACTAACTTTTGAACCCCTTGTCTGATTTGTGCCATTTTTGAATATGTTGTTCCCCTGAATGGATTGATTGTGAATATGTAATTTTATGTGAATGTGATGTATGGTTTTAGAGTTATGAAAGTTGGGTAGAAAGTATGTTTTTAACTGTATGTGTAATTGAGTTTCCTCTCAGGATAAGGGGAGGGAATATGTGGGATGTAACTGATATGTGATTGGTTGTTTTGTAACGCCCTGTGGGCTGTACTATGTTTGTGGATTGGGAATAAAAGAGACTGTATGTGACAGTACAGGAGTTCCTGTTTTAACCCTCAAAGTGAAGTGTCGTCTCATTATTGGGGGAAGGATTTATTGTATGCTGTTCCAGTTTGACTGCTAGGAGAGTAAACCTATTCATATGGTTCCTATTCAACTGTCTACAGCATTCATATGCTTGAGAGCATTCATATGCTCCTACGGTTCGGTGGTTTTGGTGTCTGCTGCAGTGCTTGGACTCCTCAGGAAGTGCTAGGAGCATCCTTTAACGGAGGTACCCAGTCGGGGTGCCAGGTGATCTGTTACAATTACCATATATTCTTGCTTCTGCAGGGAATGGGCCCAGTCTGGGAAACCTTAGGGAAAAAGATACTAGTGGGCCTGAGGCATGCCACTGGTATAAAAGTGTAAAAATGTTGAACATATGGGTAGGTGTGTATCAGAGATACCGTAACGTAAGAACTCGGGTAAGCTGAGGGACCTGAACATTGGTCTGTCAATTAGAAACAAGCCATTGGGGTCCCACAATGTGAATTTTATTTGAATGATACGAAGGCAAAGTGAGGCCTTAAGGAGAAACGTAATCGTAGTGAGTAAGATTATCAATACCTGATATTGCAAAGAAGGAACCAGGTAGCCTGTAGGTTGTCGATGGCATAGGACTTGGTAAGCTGCGGTAATGACACAGGTCTAAGTAATAATATGTAGAAATGAATGACAAAACATGTACCGTTAAATATAGTAGTAAAACGGTGGATTATGATTATGAGATTGTTGTTGACATTTGTGAGGAATCTTAGACCAGGTACGTCTCGAAGTTTAGAACCCACTTTGAGAGGTGGGGGGGCTGTATGAGGCCGTGGAGGCTGAATGAGGCCTCAAGGGGAAAACGTAAAATGGTAAACCTTCTTACCTGTTACCAAAATGCGGGATACTGAGTACCTCTTATTGGAGCTTTGTTTGAAGAAAAGTATAAGTGGTAGCAAGGTGGTGTAGGTTTGTGTGATTGATGTTTACTCGCCATGAGGAATCTCAGATCTGGCCCATTTGAAGTTTAGAACCCACTTTGGGAGGTGAGGGCTGTATGAGGCTGTGGAGGCTGAATGAGGCCTCAAGGGTGAACGTAAAATGGTAAACCTTCTTACCTGTTACAGAAATGCGGGATACTGGGTACCTCTTCTTGGAGCTTTGTAGGAAGAAAAATATAAGTAGTAAAACCCAAAAAACATATGCAGTCTAAGTTTAAGGAACCAGTATATGAGGACTTTTAAGGAACGGAGGTTTTAAATTGTGCTAATGGTCTGTAAAGAGCCTGGTAAAAAAGGACCGTAAGGCTTAACCTATGAGCAGAGAGACCTTGCATAGAAAACTAATACATAAGGAAAAGTACAATAGCCTAAGTCCCGGCAGGGTATGATAATGCCTGGCGGTGTTTTTTTGGGTTTTTTTTTAAACGTAACTGATAAGAGAAAAGTGGTCAAACTGTGTTTTAAAGGGACACTTTAGTCACCAGTGCAACTACATGTATTCCTGATCCTATAGTTTTAACACCACCATCTAGCCCCCCTGGGCCCCTCATGTCTCCATAAATATAGTAAAATTCTTACTTGTATTAAAGCCGGAAGCTGTAACTCTGCATGCTGTTTGCCTAAAAAAATAAAAAAAACAATCTGCTGACATCATCAGAAGTGGTAGCCTGATCCAATCATAGTGCTTCCCCATAGGATTGCCTGAGACTAACAAAGAGGCAGATCAGGGGCAGAGCCAGCATGATTCAAACACAGTCCTGGCCAATCAGCATCTCCTCATAGAGAGGAATTGAATTAATGAATCTCTATGAGGAAAGTTCTGTGTCTGCATGCAGTGGGAGTGTCTGCATGCTGCCCTGTGCTCTGCTGACAGCAGATCTGAGTGTATTGAGGAGTTTTATGCCTCAATCAACTCAGAAGTCCCTCTGGTGGCATTCTGAGTGACTGCAACTGGAGGTGTTCCTAGCTGAAAAATACAGTGTTTACATGAGAAAGGCTACAGGGAGCTATAGTTCTCACATGAACAACCTCATTAAGCTTAAGTTGTTCAGGTGACTATAGTGTCCCTTTAAGAAGATTTACCCTGTAAAAGATAGGAGTCCCATCATTATGTGACCATGGGTGGGAAAATTAGAAACACATATTATTTAACCAATGGTGACTTTAAGAGCCATGTAATAAATACACATAAATCCAAATAGGATAAATAATGCAAGTGCTTAGTTACGTGAAAGCAAACTATGTACAATTACAGTAGATTTGAGAATTAAAACATTGTAGCCTCTTGCTTTCGGTAAATGAATGAACAGGAGAACCGTAATGAGAAAGAACTCCTGTTTTCGGTTAAATGGAGCATACAAACAAAATTTAAATGAAATCCAAGGTATATGTGTTCGGCTGGATGACCGATCAAATGGATGAAAATAGTCAAACGTAAGTTTGTTTAGTGCGGTCGGTAGTTCATTTATACGAAAATGTAAGCGACAGGAGTGTGTACTCTGCAGTCGGCTGTTATCCACACGAACGCAGAAGTACACGAACTGAGTAAGAGCACGAATGGGTAAATAATGAAGGGAGCCTTTCCCCACATTTTTAGGCCCAAACAAGGGAAATAGCTGAACGCCATTTCCCACATTTATGCTTATGTGGACGTGCCGGTCTTGTGACCGGAAGCCGGGTAGCGAGCGGCGAGGTCAGGTAGAAGCCGGTGGATGGGCACGGAAGACGGAAGCAGTAGCTGCTGGCGACGGACTGCTTGCTGGGGACTGCTTGAGACAGGACTTGGCAGGAACGATGAACTGGAAGTGCAGGTAACTATGGAGACTAACAGCTTGCATGACAAAGGTAAGTAGGGGGGTAGGGTTTAGGGAAAGGGGAAAGGGATTTAAACTTACCTTTTTCCAGCGCTGGGCGGGAAGCTCTCCTCCTCCGATCCTCCTCCGTTCCTCTTCCTGGGCTGAATGCGCACGCGCGGCAAGATCATAACTCCTCCCACAAATTAAGGTCAAATGGCCTTCCAACATATATATTTTTGTAAACCATACATGAAATGTTTTTTTGTAAGTTATGCAAAAACATTTTCCAAAACTTCATATTTCAATATATACCAAATCAAAGTATTCTTAGTATAAGCATGTTTGTACAGCACACACCACCACTAAGGTAAAATCATAAAATAAGGCACTGATTTGAATGCATGAAAAGTGTATTACTTAAGGTAACCACATTGCATAAGGTAGATTGCAGCCATGATTAATATGCTGCCTGTTCTTAAAGTTTAAAAACACCAGGAAATATGGTTCTTCACCGTTTTAGTAGCTTAACTCAATGCCAGCAGGTGTATTACTGCTGATGCAGAGTATCACAATGAACATATATTGATTTTCATTATTCCTTCAAACAACAAATCCAGTTTTGCTTAACCTCTAGTTTCTGGCTCAAACTTGAATGTTTTGCTTAACAAGAATAAATAGCTTATTTTTTTCTTCTTCAACAAGTGCCAAACACAAACCTGTCAATAAAATATAAGAATATACTTCTCTTCACGGTATCCTAAGTTTTTCACAGCAACCAAGTGTTAACATATAGTTCACTAACCATAGAGGCAAGAGAATCATGGAGGTAGTATCTAGAACAAGGGGCCCAAAATGTATGTCCCCAGCTGTTTTAAAACTACAACTTACATGATGCATGTAAAACATCATAGGAGTTGTATTTCTCCAACATCTGGGGATCTACCTTTTGTGTACCCTTCATCTAAAACTTTAAACACAGCACACTTGAGTTCGAATATAGTATTCGATAAGAAAGGTCCCTAGATTTGAAGTCTCAGGACACAAAATGGCACTTGAGAGCTTGTGTTGCCTGATTCAAACTTCTTTCAATGTGCATGTATGCAGGGTCTGTGTCATGACTACAGTATCCTCAAGAGAGGAAACATAACTTAAAGGCCCACTATAGTGCCAGGAAAACATATTCGTTTTCCTGGCACTATAGTGCCCTGAGGGTGCCCCCACCCTCAGGGTCCCACTCCCGCCCGGCTCTGGAAAGGGGAAAGGGATTTAAACTTACCTTTTTCCAGCGCTGGGCGGGGAGCTCTCCTCCTCCGATCCTCCTCCGTTCCTCTTCCTGGGCTGAATGCGCACGCGCGGCAAGAGCTGGGCGCGCATTCAGCCCGTCGCATAGGAAAGCATTTACAATCACAGTGAGAAGCACGCAAGCGCCTCTAGTGGCTGTCAATGAGACAGCCACTAGAGGATTAGGGGGAAGGCTTAACCCATTCATAAACATAGCAGTTTCTCTGAAACTGCTATGTTTATAAAAAATGGGTTAACCCTAGAAGGACCTGGCACCCAGACCACTTCATTAAGCTGAAGTGGTCTGGGTGCCTAGAGTGGTCCTTCAAACAAATGGCATAACAGAACCTGCCACCTATGAAGGAGCCTGATTCTCTGCTTTTGATTTGAATTAGGTGCTCTCTATATAAATATATAAGGGATTTTAGACTTACAGGTTAATAAAGTTGGGTCAGGATAGAAATTAAAAAAGAAAAAAGGCAAGAGGTGGAGTATGGGAAGACATATGACTCATCAAATGAACACTGAAAGCACAAGTCTGGAACTCCGAGTTTGAACTAAGTCCAGCTGTGCAGGACTTAACTCAGTGGCTTTTTGGCTAAGAGCGATCAGGGAACACTCTCAGCTAATGAGCTAACCCTGCTAACTATACATAGACCATGCAATTGTGATATGTCCTCTTTCACATTTTACTATTCTTATTATTATTTTATTATTTACATAGCTCCAGCAAATTCTGTTTCTCTGTACAATGGGTGGACTAATAGACACAGAATTGTAACCAGACAAGTTGGATGCACAGGAACAGAGAGTTGTCGGCCCTGCTCAATGAGCTTACATGCTGGAGGGAGTTGGGTATACAGACACAAATGGTAAAAGTAGGAGTATCAAAGTAGGTTGCTAGAAAAGTATTCACTGAAGACTAAGGTTATTTTTGACAACTGCAGGAGAGTAGTCAGGGTGCAGGGTTAAAAGAGTAATTGATAAGCTTTCCTCAAGAAATTAGTTTTTCAATGATTTTATGAAGGAAGGGATACTGGGTGAAAGTCTAACAGAGGGAAGGGAGTTCCACAGAAAAGGTGCTGCCCTGGAGATGTCTTGAAGGTGAGCATCAGAGGTGGTAATACGGACAGAGGATAGACGTAGGTCTTCAACAGAGGGCAGGGGCCTAGACGGGAGATACTTATGTATAAGGAAGGATAGGTAGGTTGGAGCAGCATTATGTAGAGACTTGTAAGCAAGCACCAGAATCTTAAATTGAGCCCTGTATCTTACTGGCATTGTCTCATCTAGCTCACATTCAAAGAAGAGAGAAGTATTTCATAAAGATACAATCTATGTGAAATACTCATATTGATTGCATTATAATTTCATTAAATTTCCAATGCAATCAAAAGATATTGTAAAGCAAAGTTTGGGTTACACCGTCATATGCTACATTTGTTATGCAAAGTTGTTAAAATTTGACACCCCAAGCTAGCACTGGCAAGCAATTCTTGCTAGTGACCCTTGTGAGGAATAAGGCTCCTTCACCTACATCGCAAGATCATGCACTATTCCTGGATCCTCCAAATGTTGCTTTATTGTGCATGCGTGAAGTGACACAGGGTCCGAGTGGATATAGCACCAGAACAGAGGATAGACGTAGGTCTTCAACAGAGGGCAGGGGCCTAGACGGGAGATACTTATGTATAAGGAAGGATAGGTAGGTTGGAGCAGCATTATGTAGAGACTTGTAAGCAAGCACCAAAATCTTAAATTGAGCCCTGTATCTTACTGGCATTGTCTCATCTAGCTCACATTCAAAGAAGAGAGAAGTATTTCATAAAGATACAATCTATGTGGAATACTCATATTGATTGCATTATAATTTCATTAAATTTCCAATGCAATCAAAAGATATTGTAAAGCAAAGTTTGGGTTACACCGTCATATGCTACATTTGTTATGCAAAGTTGTTAAAATTTGACACCCCAAGCTAGCACTGGCAAGCAATTCTTGCTAGTGACCCTTGTGAGGAATAAGGCTCCTTCACCTACATCGCAAGATCATGCACTATTCCTGGATCCTCCAAATGTTGCTTTATTGTGCATGCGTGAAGTGACACAGGGTCCGAGTGGATATAGCACCAAAAGCTTATAATGGATATGAGCTGAAAGACGACGATGCCTACAAGGTACAGCTTCAAGTTAATATATCTTTCTCCTGCTTCTCTTCTCAGTCATTTAGCAAACATGGCACCTGGAATTGCAAAGGAATTTATTTGCTGATGGACTATCTAGCACCATCAATGTCATGATCTTGAGCAGGTCAGTTATGAGACTTTGGCCAGAGATAACATCAGGATCTTTGTAAGTTTGGACATAAAGTAACTGGAAATCCTATAAATTAAATTATTGGAGAGAGCAGAAATAAAGGGGTTTAGGCAATATGCCCCAAATAGGTTATAAACAGAATGTAAGTAAATAAAAAGAAAACCTAAAGATATAAGTATAGGTTGAAATAGAAGGACAAATAAAACAGAACAATAATGTTTCAGGATTACAGAAAAAGAAGAACGTTAGTGAATCAGCCCCCTATTGGAAGGAATACTGATCAAGTAGGAAAATAACACATTGCAATATTACTTTGTAGCAAAGTCCAGATTGATGGTATGCAGGTTGGTATAATGCAGATAGTTGTGTGGATCAGGGTGGGATAAATAAGGTTGGCAAGATAGTTGCATAGTCCAGTTTGAAATTGAGCAGGTTTGGGAATAAAGCAGGATTGAAGAGTGGTTCAAGCTGGTATGGAGTTGGTTGGTATTAAAAGGTTAATCATATTGATCAGGTTGGTTTTCAAATAGAAAGGTAGCAAGAAGGTAAGTCCATAGGAAAGATTACAGGAGCCATGAACAGAAGTCTTTCTGGATGACCATCAATTTCCTTTTAAAGGCCCTGTTGTGAGCAGCGTGTAACCTTTTGTAGGAACTGAAGATTATGCTAGCTTTAGTGTACTAATAATCTTAATTTTAATAAGGACAGGAGGCGAGTATTTTGCATTAACTCTCTTTACTAAACTCCACATCAGTAAAGAAAAACGTAAAGAATAACAATAAATCAATGAGCAGCATGCTGCCTGAACACTTCCTCTTTAAGCGACATCCAAGTCCTGACCGAACCCGAAACCAACAAATCCAAACAAAACCAGTATGAGCATCCTCTGGGAAGTGCTGAACTTGAGGAGACTCCCGATCATTGAAACGAAGAACATGACAGACAAACGAAGTCATCAACCAATCAGGCGGAGTAGTGGGTTATCCCGAAATGACATCCAGTGGAGGTCCTGAAGAGAGTTACACTGAAAAGGAGAGTATAAAACAGGTTAGGTACTGAACCGTAACTGGTCAAACAGATAAGCCTTTATAAGCATGCTTTGTATATGGATATAATACAGAGCAGACCACAATAATGATATTATGCACTAAACCATGCTCCTGAAAACAATATAATGTCAGGTCCCTACAACCCGCACTGAAAACGGGAACCAGAGTAAACCCCATTTGGTAAAATAAAAATAAAATAAAAAAATCTTACCTGTGGTAACTAACATCTCGAGATCCACCCAGTCACCTCGAGATCCACCCCCCCGAGGTGTGCCAGGGGAGGGAACACAAGGGAGGGAAAATACTTGCCACCTGTCCTTATAAAAATTAAGATTATTAGTACACTAAAGCTAGCATAATCTTCAATTTTATAACGTGACATGAAGCTTCCTATTTTGCACTTTTAACGCTGAAGTAGAGATAACCCAGCAGAAGGAGGAGTGCTGAAATAGAAGGTACAAAAGGTAGATTCCCTAGACCAATCCGCCGCCTGCCGAATATTTGGCAATGACGCCCCCGCCAAGAAAGCTGAGGAGGCCACCGCCCCGCGTACGGAATGGGCGCCGAATGAGGGGTCTATACAGGCAAGAGAAAGGATCCAGCAAATCCATCGAGCTAGCGTGGTGACCAAGACCGGAGTGTAGGGCCAAACGTAGGACACAAAGAGTTGGCCCGACGCCGAGTTTCGAAGAGGGGAGATAACCGCGACGTATCTGCGAAGAGTAGATACCATACAAAGCTGCGGGTCGTCCGTGAAAAAGGGATAAAAAAAACTGACGTTGAATCTGACTTGATATGTCGGGAGATACGGAATGTGCGACATCGAAAGCTCACACATCAGACACTCGACAGAAAGACACCAGGCAAAGCAGGAAAGCGAACTTAGCTGACAATTGTCAGAGAGTAAATTGTTCGTTGGGGTGCCAATCCCGGATGAAGCAGAGAACCAGCCTGACGTCCCAGAGACGTGTGTACTTGGGGCCTGGAGGGCAGCGAAGCCGCATACCGTGGAGGAGGCGGCAAACTAGCGGATCCTTGCCAACAGGGAGGTCCCCGACGGGAGTGTGGGCTGCAGAAATCGCAGGCCGAACATAGTTAATGGAGCGGTAAGATCGTCCCGTCGAAAACAAGGATGATAGAAAATTAAGAATCATGGGTATAGGTGCTGTAAATGGTTTGGAGACCAGGAGACCCAAGCTGAAAGGTAGCAGCGTCTAGTTCCGTGGGCCCATGAATCCCATAAGAGGTCTCTAGCAGCCTGCGATAGTCCGCTGACCTGCCAGGAGCCCCTGAAAGAGTCCAAGCCACAAGTGGCAAACAATTTATGAGCATGGAGAGCTCCTGTGTCGTCCAAGTTCCCCCCATGGAAGTGGTTCCGCTGGTAGCGCCCCAGCCCCACAAGCTGGCGTCGGACTCCAGTATAAAATCCGTGGTGTCTCCGAGTATGGCCCTGCCATTCCAGGCCTGCATGCTGTCCAGCCACCATGACAGTTCTCGCAAACCTCTGCCGTCACCGGGATGGGTTGATCGTACGTAGGCCTGCGGCGCAGGAATCTTGCCTTGAGCCGTTGCATGGCCCTGGAATGGAGGGGGCCCGGAAATATGGCCTGTATGGAAGCGGAAAGGAGTCCCACAATTCTGGTTAAGTTGCGTAACGGGATGGTGTCATAACGAAGAACTCTGCGGATTTCCTTCTGAATAGACGAGATCTTTGATGATGGTAGTCTCAGAGTGCATGATGTGGAGTCGATCTCGAACACCAGGAATTGTATAGTCTGAGAGGGAGACATTTCCGATTTCTGGCAGTTCACCATGAAACCCAGGAATTCCAATAGCACCACTGTGAGACGAGTGTGTTGATGTAGCCTGAATTCCTGGGAGCAGAAGAGAAGGATGTCGTCCTGGTAAATGATGCACTGGATGCCCCTTGTCTGCAGGTGGGCTATCACTGGTT